ACTGAGATAGACTACTGAGAGTATCTGTACTGTACTGTACTGTACTGTGAGTGTCTATACTGCACTGAGAGACTACTGAGAGTGTGTACTGTACTGAGATAGACTACTGAGAGTATCTATACTGTACTGAGAGTGTCTGTACTGTACTGAGAGTGTCTATACTGCACTGAGATAGACTACTGAGAGTGTCTATACTGTTCTGAGAGAGACTACTGCACTGAGATAGACTACCGAGAGTATCTGTACTGTACTGAGAGTGTTTATACTGTACTGAGAGGGACTGTAGTGTACTGAAAGTATGTGTACTATACTGAGAGAGACTGTCTATACTGTACTCAGGGTATCTGTACTGAATGTATCTGTAGTGTATTGAGAAAGACTACTATAGTGAGAGAGACTGTCTATACTGTATTGAGAGAGACTGTACTGTACTGAGTGTAAGACGGTACTAGTCGAGAGAAGATGGCAGCTGTTGAACGAGTGAAAAAGAGGAGTGATGGGGAGTAGGACAGAGAGGAGGGAGAGACGGGAGAGAGCAGTACAGGGGGAGGGCGCTGCAGACAGCAGGAGAGAGTGGGAGAGGTGTTTCTGAGAGATAAGACCGAAATGACTGGAGAGGAAGTGAGGGGTGTGTAGCCTTGGCCGGTCACCCCAGTGCCCCAGACAGGGAGCAGTTCTCTGAGTGAACCCTTCCAGTGCCACTCTCCGGCTCTCGGGAGGCGCGTCACGGACTCGGGAACGAGAGGAGGCCATCCAGCCCCTCTGGCTGCTTGCTGGTGAACCCGAAGGCTTTGAGCACCAGAATTCTGCAGCCATCAGGGGCATGTGGACCGACGCCTTGTTCCAGACCACCGCTGCTCTTTGCGGAAAGACCTGCCTGCTGTTCCCAGTCCGCTCTTCCTCTTCCATTCCACCTCTTGTCTGGGCTTTCATTCTCGCTGCCTCCCGGGGTCAGTGACTGTCCAGAGATCCTCTCCTGGTCTCCGCTGCCCAGGGCCCGAGAGGCTCGGCTCCCTTCAGGGCTGGGAGCAGACCCGCTCGCTCTCCCCGGCACGGGTTCGAGAGCAGCCGCGCCCTTCCTTCGCGTGAAACGTTTTGGGTGCCGGTGTTCCGGGCGACGTCCTCGCCGATTGTCCTAATCCTCGCTTTGCCACGCTTCAGTCGGTAGCGGGTGGTTGGGCGGCTAACAGACGATTCCTCTTTACTCCTTCGGCTCTCTCGGCTGGTTTTGGAATTCTGTTAAATCGAAGGTTTGGTTAAAAGGTCAAAAGCTGTTCCCCTCGTTTAACCCCCGGATTGGAGCTGTTTCTAGACTAACGCAGCTCGTCTCTCTCTCTCTCTCTCTCTCTCTCCAGGTTTCGGGATGAGAAGGGGTACGTGCTGTACCCCCAGATCGGAGACCGGCTGGACCTGATCTGTCCGGCCTCAGAGCCGCCGGGGCCCCACTCCACGCCGGAGTACGAGTACTACAAGCTGTACCTGGTGTCGACCCGGGAGCAGGCCGAGCGCTGCGAGGTCGTAGGTCACCCCGTCCTTCTGCTGACCTGCGACCGGCCCAACAGGGACATCCGCTTCACCATCAAGTTCCAGGAGTACAGCCCCAACCTGTGGGGCAACGAGTTCAAGACCCAGCACGACTACTACATTATCGGTAGGAGTCCAGCGACTGTCCGGGCCTGTCGTGTCTGTCCCTGCCTGTCCCCAGTTGGGACGCCACATGTCTGCTGTGAGAGAGGAGCTGTGTCTCTGTCTGTCTAGACTCCAAACCCCTCAGGGCAGCGCCAGCAGGAGGAGAGAGAGGGACAGACAGAAAACTGGTGTCTGTCTCTCTGTCCCT